CCTCTATCCTGGTGGTGGTAAGAGAACCACCGGGATTGAGGCTTTGCCTGGCGGGCCGCTCCGTCTATTGGTGGGGAGCCTCACCTGCTGGGAACCGGGCCCAGCGTCCCATGAATACATCTGTACAAAGCAGTACAAAACAGTACATCCTTGAGGAGGACGCCCTTGGGCCCCAAATCTAAATTTACTCTTCCCACCTAACCTGCAGCACCTTCGGGTACTGGGGAGAAAACCACCAGGGGGCACCAGTGGAATCTCCCTCCCTCCCCTAGCTCCTGCCCTCCACCTACTATCCTCACGGCTTCCCGTGTCCCATATACCGAAACTGGAATATCTGAGCAAAGTGAGGATTGTGGGACCAAAATTAGAATATCTGAGCAAAGTGAGGATTGTGGGGCCTGCCAGTGTTAAATACCCAGCAGCCCAGGGGATTGACTGAGCAGGCCAAACAGAACTAAGGGAACTAAAAGAACTAAAGAATAAGTCATCCCATAACACTCCAGCATCCCTTATCCCAACTACTCTTCCAAGCTCTTCCAAGCTCTTCCAAACCAAACTGACAATGTATTGAAGAGGACAGAGATAAGCAGGGATAGCACCAGTACTGACCATGTATTGGAGAGGACAGGGATAGGCAGGGATATGGGGGGGGGGCACCAGTGAAGTCTACTGCACCTGCTGGGAACCTCCTGGAAACCTGCTGGAAACCGGGTCCAGCGTCCCTCAGTCGTTACCTGTCCTTTTTTTTTTTTTCTTTTTTTTTTTTTCAGGGCCACTACCTATAGCTACCTATAAAGCCTGCTTCGTCTGCTGAAAGCCCGGTCTCATGCAACTGGTAGTATTTCGGCCAGGGCCAGCGGGTGGGGTGGGAAGGGATCTGCGAAGTCCTGACCAGGTAGTAGCGGGGTGCCGGGATCAATTGTGTAAGTGGAGCGAAGTACGACTGTCCGTTTTTGTACACTGGACAGTAGTGGAGCGAGACCCTTAGACGTGCGAGTTCGTGAGACCCTCTTGAATACGCGACGATTTCCAGCCAAGTGGCCTCGCTGCACTACTCTCTATATGCACAAAAGACAAAAAAGATGGCAATGTATCTTTACAATGTTTACATGTTCTCGCAATGGATTCAGTCTCATTTTGCGCATTTGTAGAGTAGTGCAGCGAGGCAAGGTCCGTGGTTTCTTTTTTTTTTTTTGGAAACATCGTGGTCGGGCGTAGGGGGGGTGCTGATAAGAGCAGACACCCCCTCTACGCCCGCTATCTGCGAACGGCGAGAAGTCGAAAGGCACGACATCTTCGAGTGGGGTCAGGGCCTTTACCTTGACACCAGTGCCGTTTTTATTTATATATTTAGTTATATTAATTTATTATTTATTTATCAGGATAATTTGCAAAATACCCCCATAAGTGGAGATCTTTGCCAAAGTGTCCCTAAAAGATGTGGTTAGAACAGAATGCCCCTCTGACAAAAAAAAACATTTTGTGAATTACACCTGGCGTCCGTTGGACCTCCATCTTTGCAATATACCCCTACCGGGTACTGTCCAACTTTGCGAAATGCCCCAGTACTTGCCCACTTCTCCTAGGCGCTATTGCAAAAGGCCAATGCCCAAACGGGGAGGTCCAGATTGCAAAGTTGCACACCCGCCTGACAGGGGCACAACACAAAGATTTCGGCCCAAAAGGGCATTCCGCTCTCCCTGCATCTTTAGGGGGCATTTTGGCCAATATCTCAACTTATGAGGGTATTTTGCAAATTATCCCATATTTATTTAGTATCTATTCATTGATTTATTGGTCCAATGGCCCAGGAATCATCCTTTCCCATATATCCACCCCAAAAAAAGGCCCTAAACGGAAACCGGCCGCAAATGAAATTTATCAAGCGCGGCCCCATCCCGCTTGGCTTCCGCATAACCTGGTGCGGATTTGAATTTCAAACGGTAAAGGTAAAGGTACTGGTGGAACCAATACTACACTTGATCTTAG